GAAGTAGAGGGGCCTCTAGGGCACTCTGTGGCCTCTGTTAGACGAAGCACATGACCAGCCGAGTGGAGTCGGGCACCACCAGCCACGTATGAGACCAACTCTCTTGGAACATTTTAGGAGACAGTGAGGGGATGGAGCAGCAAAAGGCTCCATGTGCAAAAACGGAGGGCTCAAAATACGACAGCTGGAGGCTTCACCCTCTCCAGGATTTGCATTTTCCTTTGTGTTATGAGCAAATAACACAAAGGAAATGTGTGACCATCCACATTCTTGTAATTAATTATCATTTTAAATATTATTATCAGCATTAGATTTATCTTTGCCCCACAAGATAATAGAGTATGTTTCCTTATGCCCATGAAAACAATGAGCTGAAAGGTTTAAGAACATAAAGAGAAAAAGATTTTGAATTAAAGTCAATGCACAATGAATGATCCCTACAATATGACGTATGTTGTGCTAAGTAGTGGATATACAAAGGTGATATGGAAATTAATACATACCTTGAATAATTTAAGAGAATGAGAGATGGTGAAGGTGTGCAGGAGGCAGCCGATTGATGTTTCTAACTCTCTATTACTCTCCCTCTCTGTAAAAAAAAAATCAATAAAATATAAAGAGATGGTGAACATAAACCACTTCTCAACAAATGGAAGGTGTTAGGGTTCAGCTTTGCCCTTGAGAATGTCACAAACTAGACCCACTGTTCTCTGGGTCCTGGTGCAGCCTCGTGCCCATGTACACTTTGGGGAAAGGGCATTGCACACAGGGCAGCCTAGGGCAGCAAGGCTTTGTCCATCTCCTGAAGGACAGTCAGCATCTTCCCAGGACCCAGATGGAGGAACTAACCAAGGCTGCTCTGCATCTGCCATTCTGATGCTGTGTGGAAGGTGAGAATCCCCATGATGCACCTGGCCACCTGAGCAGTGGCATCCAGGTGGCAGGAAGATGTTGCCTGAATGAGTGAAGAGTGGCACAGCATGACCCCCTGTGACTCAGGACCTGCCATCTTCGTTGGGGTTAGTGGGCCATTCTTATTATGTAACTAAACCTTGTTTTAATCTCCCCAGCATTACAGCTTAGAGTTAATTAGTCAGATGCAATTACGGATCTTAGAGCATCACATTTGTCTGGATAAAGAAACAGCACGTCGTAACATATAAACTCAAGGACACTTAGCATCCACCTGGGCCTAATGCAGAAGAGGTACTGGGCTACCTGCTCCGCACACTGAAAGGTCCCGATTGCCATGGCTCAGTGCAAAATAGCTGCCTACCAGGTAAGTGTCATAAGAAAGACACAAAACAAAACTGGGAAGGACTTCACATGCAAGAAGGGCCATCTCATGTTGACCCAGAAGACCAGGGCAAGCCCAGTTCTACCAGGATATGCTTTTTCATTCACTAAATCATCCACAATTTCCCAGCAAATGGTGTTTACCCACTAGTGTGTTAGAACAGCGGATATTCTTGCAGATGGGATCAGAGAGAGGGAGAACCTGGGTCTGCATTGGTCATGCGGACACCCCATTTCTGGAAGAGGATCACCTGAACAAAGACCTTCTGTTGATGCTCCAATCCTGCACTCACCCCCAGACCCAAAATTCCCTTTAATTTTCTTTTCAGCCCAGATTTGAAGGCCATACATTTTTTTTAAATGTTTGCTCTTTAAAATTCCATTTGAAAGCACTGGAAGTGAGTGCCTGAGCAGTGTATGCTCCCTGCAGTGCTGGGCCCAGGCCTAGGAGCCCCTTGAGCAGTCAGAATCACCAGTTGTGGTTTCAAACCACATTTGTACAAACCATCAATTTCCCTTCTCGGGTTTCTGGGTTCTGTTCTCATACATATGCCAGGCTTATGAAGTTGTGCAAAGCTTAGGAAGTAAATTCCTCTCTAAGAAAAGTGATTTATAACGTTACAGCTGTGGGCCCGCACACTGTCAGAATAAATCTGATTCTGTGTTTCTCCCAGTTCTACGTCAGCATTTATCTCTCTCTTATTCCCTCTCCCTTTCTTGTCCAATCCACCTCAACACGCACGCACACGCATGCACACACACAAGGCCCACAGCCCCTCGGATTCATCCTCATGTCACAGGGCTGTGGCCCCCACCCCGCCCGGGGCCCGCATTCCTACTTCTGTGGTCCCACTCCCTGGTGAGCCAAATGCAGGGCCTGTGACCCAGCTCGAAAGCCTGGGCTGAAATGTCAGCCTCAAGAGGACACCAGCAAGAGTCTTCAAATGACTATTGTCCGTGCTTGGTCAAGCAACTGAAGTCAGCAGAGCCTATCGGGAAGCCCCTGACTCTCCATGTGGTATTGTAAATAGTCTTAAAAGGCAGCTGATAATCGAGCTCTGTGTGTTCCTTTCTCATGGCAGAAGCAGGACCAGACATCCCATAGGCTGCCAGGAGCCACAGCACTGTACCCAGTGAAGTCCATGCTAGGAGGGGCGTCTGTGCCTTTAACAGGGGAAGAGTGATGGCTCAGTACAAGACGGGTTATCTGATTCGGTCTGACATTTCTTCCCAACATAGAATGCTGCCTACCTGTTTTAAACAGGGGGATAAAAATAAATAAATAAATAAATAAACAAACAAACAAACAAACAGGGGAAGAGGTAAATAGTTCTCCCCAAGGTTCTTTGCCTCCTGCCCATTCTTTCCTTGAAGCCTACAGAAGCATCTACACGTCCTTCAGAGATCCCTGGACAACCAGTGCTGACTCTCACTCTCTCTGCAAGAAGCAGGGTGTCACTCACGGGGTTGAAACAGCCGGCGTCCTGGCCCCAGATCGGAACCGTGGAGTGACTGGGTTTTCAGTTCTATCCTGTTTGTCAGATTTCGGGAAGACTGCTGAGCTCTCTCTCCCGGGGGCCAGCCAGGAAGGAAGTGCGGGCCCACTGTTCTCCAAATCATCATCAGCTGCTTCCCTACACCCCCACCCACCCCTCTGGCTTTATCTGGTAAAGGGAGAGAAATGTATTAAGTTCTGGTTGCATGTTCCCTACCAATTGTTCTATGTCCAACAAACGGTGTGAATAATTAATCACCTGCTGCCTGTAAGTAAACACCTCCTTGAGAACATGTCGAGGAGGCACTGGCAGATGGAGGCTTCCTGGTGGGCAGTCTCATGCTCATCAAAAGGTCTCCCGGGTGAATCAAGCATCAAATTGGGGAGTCTCTGAGCAGTAGGGAGAACTGAGATCCCACTGAGGGCCGGTCCAAGCAGCTCTTTCAAAATTACCCTGGAGCATTCTTGCTCCTCACGTGCTTATCAAACTTCACTTAGCCTATTAAAAATATAGATTGGCCCATTTCAAACTCATAAAATCTCATGGCTGGACAAGACTTTAAAGCCATCTATTTCAGCTTTCTGATGCTGAAAAGATAAGGTGGTTAAGCAGTATTCTCATCATGGGCTCCTCACTGCCACCCCAAACTCAGTCCCACTGGAGGAGCTTGAGAGGCTCCCCCACACCCAGCAGCACCCTCCGTGTCCCGACCCACCCACAGGAAAACCATACCCGCACAGTCCCGGGGTCCTTCTCACAGCTGGTAGCATTCAATTCTCTATAGAGATATGTGCACCCACATCTCACTCATTTCCCATGCAGCATGGTTTGGGGTGCCCGTGAGGTCCTGGCTGTTCTCTTTCAGAGTGTTCTCGTTTAATTATACCCCCTTCAAAGAGAGGTGTCCTCACAGAAACCCCCACACCCCACAGGTGGTTCCCCTAGGCCAGGACAAGGTGATCGCTCCTCTCCTGAATGCTGCACTTTCATCAGCAAGGCAGCAGCACAGGGTCTTGGCAGGCACAACAGCCCAGCACTCAATATCACCTTCATTCCCAACCAACCTTTAGCCTGTTTTACTCCTGTTTCCGATAAATCCCACTGCCCCACCCTGCACTTCCACTATTTGTTCTCTGGACTCAAGAGCTGAGTCCTTTGTTTGCTGGGGGTTTTAATTTAAGAGTAAAGAGCTCAACCACAAATCAAACTCAAGGCACACCCATGCCTGGCTTTTTAAAGTCGCTTCAGTACATACCACATAGAAAAACCCAACAGGAGAGCAAGAACTGTCGAGTTGAAATGAAGCCCAGATCACATTTCATTTAGACAATTACTGCCCCATTAATTTTAGTCAATTATTAATTCAAGCGCCTTGGTAACCAGGCAGCCTGAAAAAAAATGAAGCCATCCATCAAAGCAACTGCTCCGGTGACCATGACAATGGGGCCATCCTCTCCCCTCGCTCTGGAGAACCACCAGGCGGAGGGCGGAGGGGCCAGGCACACACTTGCCTCTCACAGGTTTCCTGGTCTCACGGAGGCTGGCAAGAGAGTCAAGCGTATCGGCGATCTCCCACACAGACCAGCTCGCCTGCAGACTCCCATCCGTGAGTGGGCTCCCCACCCAATCCCACTTCCAGAACTCATCAGCACCCTCCCTGGGTTTCACACCTCAAGTATCAAGATGTGCAAACTCCCTTCCTTTTCCCCTTGATTTTCAGTCTCTAAATTGCAATGATAGGAAGAGAGGAAACGAAATAAGGGGGATAACAAGGAAGAAAAAGAAGAGGAAGAGGCTGGTCACAAATGTAAGTCTTGCACCCCTTTTAAAACATGGACAAAATTCCACATTTTGTAGGAAAGCAAACTTGTCCACTGACTCCGGCTTGGCAGAGTGAGAATACATTCTCCCCTTCCAGCATGCACTGGCGTAAGAGGCTGCCCCTCAGACACCCAGGCCACCAGTCAGGGGTCAGATGCCCCGCACACAAGAAGGCAGATAGGCGGGTTATCCGAGAGCACTCCAACTAATGTGACCCTGAGCTACAGTCCTCCCCGGAGCAAGCACGGTTCCCATTCAGGGTCAGGGTGAACCAGAGTTCTTGCCTGCTAACTGGGGCTTATAAATTAATTGATCACCAGAGATTGTTCTTCCTGATGATCCTCTTTTCTCCTCCTTGGTCCATAAATCACTTTTAATTACCAACCCACAAAGCCCTCCTTTGAACTCACTTCTTTGACATGGCTTTTGGTTAAAAGGAAAATCGAGCACAGTTAGAAGTGCAGTTAAGAGCTTTTTCCCCCGAACACTCCCATTACTTTGCTGTTGTTATTACTCTGATGTGGGGTCTGTGTTGGCCAGAGGCACCAACTCCACTTACACACAGCTGGCAAATGAAAACAATATCAGAACATCTCCGTTACACAGCAGGCTTTTATATGGTGATGTTTCATATTTTACTGCAGTTTCCTTTGGAAATGCTCAAAGCAACGACATCTGTTTCCTTTCATTGGGATTTTTATGTTCTTTCGGCCAAAAAGGAGAGGATAGAGTTCATTAATTCAGCATCGTAATAATTACAATATCCACATAAATTTTGTTGGGTTTGGTGTTTTTAAATATTGAAGACCCACCGTCCCCTTTCCCTCCCGCGTCCTTATTAAGAAGTGAAGATGGAGAGAAAACTGGGAAACCTCAGGGTCAGATTCCAGAGGTCTGGCTGGCTCTGAAGAACTTGCCACAGGCTTCCCAAAGGTGAGGTGACCTTCCCAGCCTGCCACTGTCCAAGCCCTCGGGACTATGGAATGAGGTGCAGTTGGCCAATCGCCATGGACAGAGAGAGATTTAGACTGCCCCACATTTTATTTCTTGACAAAAGTAGAATAATATGTCACAGATAAGCAAGGGCGAGAGATGGGAACGGAAGGAGGTTGGGCCAAGACATGAAAATCCACATACGTTAAGAAGTTTGAACTTCTTCCTAAAAGCACAGAATCTGCTGTAATTTTTAATCAGAGGAGTGACTTGATGACAACATGTGCATTTTTAAAAGATCACTCTAGCTGCAGTTTGGAAAGTGGATTGAAAAAAATATGAAGACTTGAGACAGAGCAACTTGGGAGCAGGCACAGTGACCTGGGCAAGAGCCAGTGGGCACAGATTTGAGGAGCATTTGGGATATAGAACTCAGAGGACATGATGATTGACTGAATGCTGGGGACACAAGGACAGGAGGCCTGTACGTTAATTCAGCGTGGTACAAAATTACAGACTCCCATTTAAAAGTCACAGCCAAGAGACAGAGGAAAACCCCGTAAATGCTCAGACATGGGAAGGCTCCAGATCAATTGCAAGGGATAACTTCCCCTTTCTCCCCCAATGCCCCAATCTTTGATGGCAAATTGTTTCCCAAAGTGCCTGGGGAGAGTGGGGTTCCCACATGAACCTACCCAGGGTGCCTGGCTACAATATTTTGAACTTCAAAAGAGAAAGAAACACTCAGTGGTGTCCAAACTCTCTCATCACACAGTTTAGAATCTGTTCTGTGTTTCCAGCGCATCAGACCCTGAATATTGGGTTTAGGTTCAATGGCAAGAAATCTGCCAATGAATTCATTTCAGGTTTAGGGTCAAAACAGGCAATTAAGACTGTCAGCAGACTAAGTGAGCAGCCAGGACTGGAGGCAGGAATGGAAAAAAGTGTTGACGGAAGGACAAAGCACTTCCTCATGAAGTGAAAGCCGGGCTTCGCTGAGGATCAGCTCATCCTCTCGTCGCCTTCTGTCTGCTCCTGCGATCTCAAAGCCGCTTTGCGTGGATTTACTTTCTGCAATTTAAAGGACAAGAGCGTTCAGGACAAGAAGTTTCTTCAAAGTCGTGATAAGCTTCTGCCTTTGACTATTCTCAATCACTTGCATGTAGAAAAATCATATTTACGGGTCTGTGTTGGGGGAATGCTATCACTTATCTTGCCCAGGTGGGCTCAAGACCACACACCTCAAAGTGACTCTGTCCCTAGGGAATGGAGCCCACTGATGTTGCCTCTGGGAGCCCTGAGGCCCTTGGTGGCCAAGGCCAAGTGTGCAGAGCGGAAAGCAGACTGGCCTTGAGAGGAGGCCAAGTCACACCTACCAAAGGTGGGAAGGGAAAGGAGCCTGCGTGCCCAGAGTCAGTGTGTCAGGTCATCACACATGCTCAGGGCCAGTGAAGCAGTATCAGTGAGAACAAAAGCTTGTGTGTTCACCCCAAGGTTTGTTTGCACAGAGAACAAGTCCTAGTAGGCCCTAATGATTTGTCTGTCTGCATTCTCATGGCTCCGAATATCCCCACTTTCAGAGACAAACAGTGGGCACCTAGTTTGTGAAGATGGTATACTGGAGAGGAATTTACCATCCGGGTTTATTTTTCCTCCCCGAGTTTAATAAGCTGTGTGATAGGTAAAGAGTGGCAAAAATAACACTTATAATAATAGAAAGCTTAATTGGTATTAGCTAAGTCAACAAAACAATGGTGCCAGCGGTCTAGATAATTCTACAAGGAACACAGGAAACATTCCCATGTTGGAGTTGTTTTCATACTAAATATACATGGCAAAGGCGGCGGGTGATACCAGCTCTGTGTTCTGGACAGCGTGTCAGGCTCCTTGGGTGCTGGGTTGTCCCCAAACCCACTTCAGCCGGCGCTTTGCAGGTACCTGGGCCTGGGATCCAGCCTGGCAGTGACACTGTGCAGGCCAGCCTCAGCTGAGCTCACAGGTCACCCCTCGCCGCCTCGGCCTGGTATGGGTGGGGATCTGAATTCTCTAAGAATAAGCACATGAGATGAATCTTGCTAAAAAAAAAAAAAAATGGTCAAGAGTTCAGGGCAAGCGGTGATGAAGAAGAGGATCCGTTTAATTCTGCTGGGTCCCCAGGAAGCCTGGTATCTTGGTTGGGGCACAGGACTTGAGGTAAAAAGACCTGGATGGGCTCCCCTGCTGCTTTGCTAAGCAGGGAGGAGAGATCAGCTTCACTCCTGTGGCCCTTGAACTAGAGCAATGACTTTATTTTCATCATAATGACCAAATGGCCAGTCACCAGATGAAATGAAGCTAATGCAAAGCCCCAAAACTGGAGCACAGGACAAAGGAGGATTTCCCTTCCCGTCTGCCTGGCGACAACCCCAGACCCATTGTTCATCTTTTTTGTTTGTTAATCCTCAACCAACGGTATTTTCCCACTGGTTGTTAGGGAGAGTGGAAGAGAGAGGGAAAGTCAGAGAAACATCCATGTGAGAGAAACACATGATTGGTTGCCTCCTGCACAAGCCCCGACCAGGAGGAGCCTGCAACCAAGGTACTTGCTCTTGGCTGCAATCAAACCTTGGTCCTCGGGCCAATGCTCTATCCACTGAGCCAAACCAGCTCCGTTGTTCTTAAGCAGAGGGTGCATAAGAAAAAGGAACTAGAGACAAGCCATGAGTTTTGGGGTCCTTATAAATGCACTTTATAATTTATATCAATAATTATACTTAATCCTATATAATAAATACTATGCAAACTGACCCTCATGCCGTAATGCCGTCATAAGATGGCTGCCCTGCCCAGCCCACCTCCCCCGGTCCTACCGCTGGTCAGCTCTCCCACCCCAATTGAGGGTGGGGCAGCTAGCCAACCCTCCACCCCTCCACGGTCCCTCACCCAGGCCGGCCATGCCCCCACGTGTTCCCGGAGCTGGGGGTACCCCAGGCAGGCTGCAGGCACTGCGTTGGTCAGAGGCAAAGGTCCTGGCTGTCCCTGGCCTAGAGACTCCAGAAAACCTCAGCAGTGACCAAAGACCAAGACCGAGTAGAAAGGTCCCCGCCAGGACTTATGGCTCAAAGTGCCAGGAGGAGGCAGAGCATCTTGAATCTGCAACCCTGGCGTCTGCACACCAAGCCTTGGGGCACACCACACCGGTGGCCCCTGTGGGTGAAACGGGGAGAGCAGGGTGCGGAGCTGGGAGGGACCTAGAGTCTCCGGGAGCAGTCCGCCTGCCGAGGTTGCTGTGACCCATGCGCTTGGGCCTGGTCAAAGCCCCTGGTCAGCTCTGCCGCTTGCCTTCCAGGTGCGGCTTGCCCTGAGCCGGCTGGCCTTGCGCTCAGAGAAGCAGCTGTCCCTGGGCTCAGTTAAATAAGAGAAATCAAAGAGCCGAGAGTAAATATCCTCCCAGTCCCTTCCTACGCCCCTGGGTGAGGAGGGCTGGGATGGGGGAACGAAAAACAGCTGCTGCTTTGCAGTTTCTAATGAAAAGACGCCTGCTATGCAGAGAGGAGAGCTGACTCGTTTCCAGCAACACCTGGCGCATTCCCTGCCCCAGCCCTGAAGCCTGACAGCATCTAGCGAAGGTGAGCCCGCACAGCCGTGCTGGCCTGGCTCCTGGCACGTTGGGAGCAAGTTTGAGCTGCATGGATTAAAAACAAAAGAAAAAAAAAGAAAGTAAAGATTGAAAAGCACCTCTTTGAACTCAAATGGCACTATACAATGCAGATTACAGCATTTGATTTTGTCTTCTGTGTTGATTTTGAAGCAGAACACAAATAGGTTCCTGTGAAAAGCAGAAAAAAAAACAAAGGGAAAAGAAGATTCTGCCGTCCACAGCACTGAACGTTGTTTTGTTTTGTTTTGTTTTGTTATTTTTTCTCTTGTTCTTCAAGTCAGTATATGCCATTTAAACCACTTATGGCGTTAGGTAATGAGCTAATGCTTCCTCTATTAAAAGCAAGCAGCAGTGCCTTTCATGTGAGTCACATACATTTAATCCATTCAAATGGAGCATACTGAGCAGAGAGAATGGTATGTGTCATTATATAAAGAACTTGGCATTATGATGATATCTGGCTGAAGATCTTATTTAATTTGCAATTTAGAGAACGAAGACAAATCAGGCATTGGAAATGAATGTGCAATGACTTTATTTTCATTCATAACAACCAAACGGCTAGTCACCAAGAGGTACATTGATGGGTCCACGGCACGGTGGGTCTGGGGTCTCATGGTGTGATGGGTCTGGGTGAGGCTGTGTGGTGTGAGGGCCGGGGTACCTGAGGCTGCATCCCCCACCCGGTGGGGCTTGATGGGCGTGGGGCCAGCCAGGTCTTGGTGTCGCCCAATGGGGGTGGGGCCGGCAGAACATTTCTATTATAGAGAAAAAGCAAATAGCAATACTAAAATAGATCCGCTAATTATCTTTTAATGTGCACAA